GTAAATAAAGACAATCCAGGTTTTATGACAATAATGCTGTTTGAGATGAAAGGAGTGCGCCCACTTTCATTTTGGTAAGTTTTGTGGAAGCAGAAAATATGAGCTCATAGCACCCCCCCAACCTTTTGTGGTAAACTTATTACCCCGGTGCAAATGTGCCAGAGCCTCTAAGAAATGTGCAGCTCTTTACTGACATCAAGTGGTTAAAATGACAGACACGTGTACCTTCTTATAAATATTTGAATTTAAATATTCAGTGCTTGGTCAACTCTCCTTTAGCAGGAATTACTGTGTCGTTGTGGTTCGTTATGGCGAGCTGCCATCAGCTCTCTCTGCATTTTTTTGTTTGGGGCCTTTTCGTCGTGACAATACTCCATATACATGGGGATGGGGTTCAGGTCAGTTCCATACAGTATTAATGTGTCAGCGAACCATTTGGTCCTGCAGTAGTTTTAGCATTGCAGCCAGATACTGAATCCAGCTGAACAAAAGAAATCAGCATCACACAGATGCAGACAAAGAGCTCTCAAAGCTCCTGCTAAGCTGCTGTGTTGACTTTGGACTTCACAAAACACAGAAGATCAACCACTGCCAACAGCTACCGATGACTTTACAGACTGTGGAAACAGATTTCCAACATCTTGAATTCTGTACCTCTTGACTCAAACCCTTCATCTGAAAATAAAATCCAAGCTCTACTCATCTGAAAAAGTTTGGTCTAATCCACCGAGCTGAGAGGGATGATTTTATTCCACTAGATGTCACTGTTGGACTGAGAATATCTTATTAGGATGTTCACAACTCATTTTCATATACATGCCAAATGACATGTAAATATCAGACTTCTGGTCATTTTTAACCATTTGTTAATACTAGCATGAAACACACAGGACGCTTCTGATTGGTCAGATCTGCGTCACCTGTATTACTTTTCAATTTGGTTCATTAAATTTCTCCGTCCTCTGGAGGGAGGTCAGACCACCTCTTGTGTAAATCATGTCTAACGAGGCCCAAAACCACCACTGAGAATCAATTTTTATTTATTTATTTATTTAATGAATTCAGTTTACAATATGCTTGACAGTTTACTTTATAACCACATTTTTCAGGCTTCTGTTCTCTCATTTGCTGTGCAAAAGGAACAACGTCTAAGAGACTTTCACTACGTGTGACCAGAGTGAAGTCGGTCCGTAAACAATTAGCCTAAAATAAGTAGAAAGGAATGGCACTTTAGGGCTTCTAAACCAAACACTGCTTCACTACTCTCCTCGATACACAACCACGTTCTTGTCGGTCTCGTGAATCTTGATCTCATAGAGCAGGCCGGGCGGGAGAACCTTCACCATGTTGTCCCAGATGTAAACAGCCACGTTCTCTGTTGTGCTAAGTGGGCAGATGAAAAAGAAGTTTCAGTGAGGAAAACCAAATTAATCTGTAATACTGGTGACAATAGCCTGAAAGGGTACACACCTGACAACAGTAGTAAAATATGGAACATCCTTATCAAGGTTTTTATGGTCCAGTGGAATCATGATGACTTCCTGCAGGAGAAGCACCGTTTTTAATTTAAAACGTTTCAATATACTGTACACCAACTGGGCAGTTAGTTAACAACTTCAGAGTTTGTTCCATACATAGCTAATGTATGTCATCCTAAATGTTCTGTGTAAAACTAACAAAGGCCAGTTTTAGCCTGCATGTTGTAGAAGTAGTGTACAAATTTACCAACTTAA